GAGCTCTACTTATTACGAGGCTAGGAACCCTATCACCGGGAAATTAGTCCTAGGGGGCGGTATGATCACACCAAGCTGCCAGCTTGCGATTATCACGGACGAAATTCATACACATTGAAGCTGCAAAGACGGTTGAGAAAATGACTGTGTTTAGGATGCCGTACATGATGACGACATTCAATTCGCGTGCAGGGCGAGTTGCGGTGCTCGCAGTCTTCTCTATCCTTACCCTTATCTGGGTTTTGCCGAGACATGAGGCCCAAGTGTCTCCAACCTTCTATGCTGGGAATGGCTATAATAGCAGTCACCCTATCGATGCTCTGATCGATACCGCGGAGACTGATCTCTACGAACTCTTAGGAACCCAGGCTCACGACCTCGTAACCGCCGCAGAACAATATCGAGCTCGCCGCGGAAGACATCCTCCTCCAGGATTTGGAGAATGGTACGAGTTCGCAAAGTCAAAAGACTCATTGATCATTGAAGAATTTTTCGATCAGATCTATCACGACCTGACTCCATACTGGGCTCTCGAACCGAAGGAATTGCGTCGACAGGCTAAAAGCATCCCGACCCGTATCACTATTCGGAACAAAACTGCGGTATTGAAAACCGATGAGCCTAGAAATTGGATGGACTCGTGGTATGATCTGGTTGCCAAATTGGAGGACGGGCTTCCCGACCTCGATATGCCGATCAATGTCATGGATGAGACCCGGCTCGTCGTCCCCTGGGAGGAAATCAACGAATATGTGCAGAAGGAGCAAGAAACCCGCGTTATGACGAAGCCGAACCGTGTCATCCCCGAATACATGTCTTTGGTCGATTCAGATCACGAAGACATGGAATCCTATGATCCTGGTTTTGCGGTTCCCGGCGAGGGAGGATACTGGGAGATGGCTCGGGTTGGCTGCCCGCCTGGAAGCCCTGCACGCAACATCACCCTGCCCAAGGTGGATTTCAGTACTCCTCCTTGGGAATATGATAATTTCGAGAGAATGTCATACCACGGTTATGTATCAAACTATACTCTGACCAAGGACCCGTGCGTGCGCCCAGAGATGCAAGTTTTGCATGGAACCTTCCTTGAGCCCATCTCTGTTTCAACCTCGCACAAGCTCATGCCACTGTTCGGTGGGTCCAAGTTACCAATGAACAATGAGATTCTTCTTCCTCCAGCGATGTACTGGGCACAGAACGACCATTATTCCGGTGGAGAAAAGGAGCACGGTGGTCCCTGGGCAACAAAATCAAACAAGGTTGTATGGCGAGGTGCTGCTACCGGAGGCCGGGCTCGAGAGCCCAACTGGACGGGCTTCCAGAGACACCGATTCATGTCGATGATGAATGCGACATCAGTGTCTCAGGCCGAGAGGAATCAGAGCCACGGTATCAACTTCAGACTTCCAAACTATGCCGATTACAAGTTGAAGGGCGACGGTTTTATCCCCCAGCTTCTCTCGGAGCATACCGACACGGGCTTCAACCACCTGGTTTGCACTCCTTACAAGGAATCGGACCCGACCTGCCCGTACCTCGATCCATATTTCGAGGTCGCACCTGGCATGCCAATGAAGCAGATGTACAACTTCAAGTATCTGCCCGATCTCGACGGGAACTCGTTCAGTGGCCGGTACCGCGGATTTATGTTGTCTACTTCTCTCCCCATCAAAGCTACTATTTACAACGAGTGGCACGACTCGCGACTGATCCCCTGGTTACACTTCGTCCCCATGGATACCACCTACATCGACTTCTATGGAATTATGGCCTATTTCCTCGGCGGCCGTGACAAGACAGCCCGTAAGATTGCCCTTGCTGGGAAAACTTGGGGCGAGAAGGTCCTCCGACGGGAGGACATGGAAATCTACACATACCGACTTCTCTTGGAATATGCCCGCATTTGTGATGATCGGAGGGAATTCCTCGGTTATGTCGATGATTTCAAGATGGACTGATTACGGTAATTGGTATTAGTACGCATACGTGCAAATTCACGCCTGAAGTCCACCCTCCAGCATTCTTAGCAGGGTTGGTTCATCGGGTATGACCAAAGACTTTTCTTCGAGATAGGAAACATACGGTCTCGCCTGAGTCCTGACTCGGCTCCTCATCACAGGAATCCCCGACTCAGATTGGGCCTCCTTGGCTTCGCCCTCTGGGCACTGGCCTCAATGTCTCCATTCCGGCATCAGTGGCTCTTTCCTTTCGGACTTCGGTCTTTCTCTTTCTACCTCCCTTCTTGTGCTCTATTACGTCCTATTTTCATGTCATGTTTGTTTTTACCTTTTGATGATTATTGATACCATGGGCAAACTCCTTTCTTGGCTAGTGCCTGATGCACATAAATTGAAGATTTTTGCCATTTACGATTTGATATTTTTCTTCTTACATCGCTGTTACACAGATAATTCCTAACTACATATAAAGAAGCACTATATCCTAAACTCTGACACTCTGACATACCTTACTCTTCCATTCATCCCTGCCAAGCCTGACAATATCAGCCTGTTCCAGAACCCAATAGCTCGACGGGGCTTTGCCCCCTTCAGCCACACAAGCAGCTGCCACAGCGGCTCTACCAATAGTCGTTTGATTTTGACCTGCTCACGCGAGTTAGCTCTAAATATTCAGAAGCAATTCAAGTATTGATGAGCACTGTCATACCAACTTTGTCCTGGACACCCTGTCCGAGCTTCTGAAGGCCTTCCACAAACTTCTCTAAAAGGAAAGACTTGGATTCCTCCCTTCCGATAATCATCCCCGGTCTCAAAATGATAGCATTGTCAAAATTAAGCTCCTTGATGGCATCCTCGACGCCAACTTTCATCTTCGAGTATGGAACCCAGCCCCAGAGGAAGCTTCTAGTGCCTCCGCTAGAAATATAAATGTACGTCTTCACGCCTGCCTCCTTAGCTGCTCGAGCATTCTCGACACATAAATCATGATCAATCTTCCACTGATTCTTAATACTGCCCGCTGTCGCTGTTGTAGTACCGACAGCATTAAAAACTATTGATGGCTTCGGGGACAGTGTTGAGATCATGTCTCCCCATTTTGAGGTGTCGCCTTCCTTGAGTGCTTCAAGCTTATCTGACTGCGCATTTGGGAGTCTCCTGGAGATAGTCTTCACTGTTGAAAATGTGTCTGTCACGAAGAGTGTAGCCAGGACCTGAGAACCAACTGCTCCAGTGCAGCCGAATATTGCTGCGGTCGTCATGACGGGGGGTTGTGATATGGGCACTGCCTTGAGAGAGATGGTGATCTTCCAAAATAAGGGAGGGTGGTCCAAGCGTTATAATCGCCGATCTCCATGAATGACGTCATCTATATTACAAAACCTTGGATCTTATAGACTACTATAATAGCGTGCTCTATATAAAAGTGTCTATTATTATTTAGTTAGCCCATCCGGATTTCTTCAATTTAGTTCGAGTTATATATATCTGTCATCCTTAAGATAAATATCGCACGGGGGGTATCTGCCGAGCTTGTAACAGTATTCCACGGTCATTCTACTTAGCTTGCTATACGGCAGGAAAAATTGCAAAGGCTTGAATTTTGAGGTTTTAGCCTCGAGGAGAAGGGGCCATGGGGTGATTGACACTGATTGTGGAATGAAAGGAGAGATCAGGCTCTCGCGGTCCTTCTGGGTAGACATGTCCTCCGGAACTTCCTTCTCCCAACCTCGATACCTATTAAGAGACTTGAAAAATAGATATTTTCTCCGGAGAGTCCACCAAATAACCCTCTTGATATGAATTTTTTGAATGCGTCGATCCTAAAGAGCACAAGAATTCATCTTACGCCCTATGCGGGATTTTCCGCCAACCTCACGCCCTACTACATGGCTTGTTTTCAGGCTAACCAAATACCACGTTCGCAGATATATTTAAGAACCAAAATCTTCCAAGTACAATTCACAGATTCAGAGGTCACCAAATATCAAAATCCTGAACATCTCTCCAGCCAAAAATGAACGAGCTTAATTTTCGCGTCGCAACCGAAAAGGACGCGGCTCAACTTCAGCAGTTAGTGGAATCTGCGTTCCGCGCCGAGGACAGCAGAAAAGGCTGGACAGATGATCTAGGTCTCTCGTCGAGCTTCCGCCTTAATGTCCAAGATATGTTGGCCATGATCACCAAACTGGACAGTGTCATGTTAATGGCAACCAATGATCAAAATACGCTCGTTGGCTCGATCGGGACTTCCAAGCGCGACGCAAACCAGGCTCGTCTTTACATGCTCGCCGTTGATACCAGCGAACAGCGCGGCGGAATTGGGCGGCAGATCTTGGCATATGCTGAAGGCTATTGTCAACGGACTTGGGGTGTCACGACGCTGGGATTAAACGCCCTCTCAAATCGCCAGGAACTTATCTCGTGGTATTCGCGTCGTGGATACAAACCAACGGGTGAAACAAGCCCCTTTCCTCGCGAGAAGTTCGAGAACCTGGTGTTACCAGGTGATCTTTGTTTTGTGGAATTTGAGAAAATACTGTGAATAGAGACGATTTATCTTCTTACATGGAAACTATCTGGTTGGAATTCCTTCACCAACCGCACGTTCTAGGCTCCAGCAGGGAAACCCCCACTATGGAGTACAATATACGTTTCCTCTTTCTGATCTCCGTACATCGCTTAAATTACCGTAATTACTAAGCCTCTTCCCGATCCATGGATCCATTCTAACTTTGATCTTCTTATTATATGTACTTTACTCCACTACCATACCTACCTAGGTAGCTTCAGCCCTTCTCTACCACTAGGGATGGAGAGCACCGCACAGAGAGGCAGGATGGACAAGGTGTCAAATATTGGAAATGAGCCTTCAGGTATCACGTGGAAGTGGAGATCATAAGGTGTAGTTATTACCGCCAGCGTAGAGGTACCTATGTAGAGATCAAACAATAACTTGAGCTTATTTTTTTACACAGCCCAACAATCTCTGGGCTTGACATATTTCACGGTTAGCTGAGTTTGCTGCAGATGGTCAATTGGCTACTTGGTTGCCTTCTCCAAATCGGCAGCCCAGAGAGCCGCGCCGACAGTATTCGTAAATGAAAACGCGATGGAGGCAAATGGTATCATTTCCAAAACAAAGGCTGCAATTCCAAGTCTAAGATACAAGTCAGTATGTGACCAGATAGCACACGAGGAGCAAGGGGACGAGATGGAGTTTACGCACCCAGTGTACGCGCCCTGATTTTTCTTCACCCACTCCTCTCGCATCGTAGAGTCCCAGCCCTTGAGCTGGAAGTATCTGGCATGAAGTACCGGTCCTGCTCTTTTCCCCTGCATAAAGATATACAACACTGTCCCGACCACAGGAATAAGGTTCAGGGGCAGGTAGAGCAACGATCGCAGCAGCGCCCGTGGATTCAGCCGAGCGAGAGGGCGAGTAAATATCTTACCCAGCCTAGCCATCGCATCTTTCCCTCCCGATCGGGGTTTCATCTGGCGTCCTTGTGCTACGAGTGGCTCCTGGTCACGCGCGACCAAGGTGCCATCGAAGGTATCGATTAGGGCGTCTTCGACGAGGAATGAGCGCGAGAGGACGTTTGTTATGGCGGAACTTTCGCCAAGGACGAGAATTGCTGCGGAAATAGCAGCCAATGGGCCACTAGTGAAGGCCATAATGGCCATCTGTGGCACGTACGTGAAGAAGAACATGACGGACGTGACGCCTACTCCAAGCGTGATAGTTCGACCGGCGCGAGATATAAAAGGGCGCCAGAGGTCTTTATGTGTCGCAAAGTAGATGATTCCCTAATATCCATTCAATTGAAGTCAGAGACGGAGACGGTTGGAAAGCACTCTTGAATGGCATAGCTACTTACCTTGAATGGATACAAGTATGCGCCCGACGTAATCACATCATGAGCAACTGCTTGAGTATTTTTGGCTTCGGCAAGCACTGCATCTTTGATCTTCTCAGACATGGTGTAGCCTACAAGTTAGCAGCAATAGGGTGGGAAAGGAACGAGAGTTGGAAATGGGAAGGTGAAGATGATGACGTAAATATGCAGTTCGACCTTAGGATCATCCGTTTTGATCCTACCGCTTCTAGCTTCCTACGTTCCCGTTGGTCTGTTTCTGCCAACTATATTATTCTGGCTTTCTCATTAGCCAATTCTTCCCACCGCTTACTGAGAGTTCTTACCTCCAAGCTGAACAAGCCAAGATCAACCAGTTGCCGAGGTGCTATGGCGGTGCGAACCCAGCTACATTTACTGCACGTTAATTTGTCAGTCACATGAGGTGGTATCAAGAAGCATTATTACCATCAAAATCAAATGCAAACTGCCATAAAACATGGAGATATCTGCACTTGCATGCTGATGAAAGGCTTCATTTTTGAGAGTTTTAAATGCCAGCAAAATCAGGCTATAGGAAGTGTGACAGTAATTCAGGTATTTTAGTTCTTCTGCAGGTCTTAATTCAGGCCGCCAGGCCAAAGCTAAGGCATCAAGGCATCAACATAGGGGTTTGGCAGCTGGCGCCTATACTGCTGCGTACATAGGCGACCACTTCGATGGTGCCAAAGAACATCGAGCAAATATCAGCCTCTTTCAAATTTGTTTCCTTCCATTTCCTGTTATGAATACTTCCATATCTCCAGATTCCAAGCCGGCAGTCTCACTGGTGGGCCCTATCGGGGCTTTTATGGTGGAGTTGCTGATCTGGAACGGATCGCCCTTCAAAGATCACTGGGCGTACTTTGTTCGGTCGGATGCGGACCCTGATATCGGCGTAAAGATACACGCGACTGGCAATGTAAGAAGTGGCTTCGAGTTCGAAATCAAGCGCAGTGAAAACTTGCGAACAACCGACGACATTCCTTCGACAAGGGTCCCGCTGCAATGGGTCGACGCAAGCTACTTTGACGAGAAGGCTATGCTTAACGACGGAGAATACAAAATCGACATTCGCCTGTCTGTGGCTTCGAGAGGAGTGCTTACCAGATCAAAGCTCCAGGGAAAAGTTTGAACACAATCAGTGACGGTGTGAGTCAATGAAACTTCATCCCTAATCTGGCCCCTAGAATGCATTCTATGTGTGTCTCTGCCCTTAAAGCCACACCTACGAGGATTTATACACGGTTCTCTATCGTGCCACTGGGATATATATGCTAATTCGGATGTTCTAGTCCAAACCAGGCAGGAAAGTCATTCAGAGGGACTGCCAGACATGGATTGTCGAGTCTGCTGATCAACTTCACCGTGATAATATTTTGAGCAATGGGGTTGCCGCTTACCTTCACGCAATTAAACAGTGATGGTGGACTGGATCAATGGTTGAGCCTGGTCTCTTTTCCTAGCAATAGCTCCTCTGCATCTCCTACGAAATCTTCCCTGGAATGTCCACCATTTTGTTGTCGATCTATCGGTCGGACACAGTCTTCGAGAGATTCATCCTTCGATGGGGGTTTCCTAAACAGGACTAAAAGGCAATTTGTGCACCCACGTACGGACCCTAATGCGTGAATATACTCGGTACATGGAACCACTTTCGATTATAGTGGACGTGGACTCAAGTCGTGGATCCGCCGTGTGTATATATTTGACCAATGTCTGGTCTTTTAGCAAGCAACATTTAATTTTCAGCTGAACTCTTTCACACAAAAATATTCCCAGAAACGGATGTCTTTCTTCAATATCCCCGACGGGTTCTATGGCTCAATTATATGTTTAAATTCATGGTCGCTCTAACGCAAAAATAAAAAGGTCATTCCCCTCTTCTTCGAAATCACCCACAACCCTGAACCCGCACTTTTCTAGGACACGGCAACTCCCATGGTTCTTCTTTTCACAAAGAGCAAACGCCTTCTCGACCTCTACCGGTGCATCACCGTCAATTGTTCGACGTCCCAGATTCCACCACATCTTCAACATCAATTGCAAAGCCTCCGTCGCATACCCTTTCCCCCAGGAAGATGGATGCACTGCATATCCAATTTCAGGGAAGGGGTCTACTTGATTAATGCTAAGGGATCCAACGACTCGTTTTTCTATTTCCGGGATTGACTTGTCCACAATGGCATAATTAAATGACCGGCCGATGATATCGGAGGGACCACTTGTGAAGATCTTGGTTGCCATCCATTCACGGGTTTCTTCAATTGATTTGAATGGTGTTTTGGGGTGGCTGGTAAAGTTAGCATTGTGGACATTCCTCATCAATACCTAAGTACATAGACGATGATCTTTACTAACTTCATTTCTGCGACTTCGGGCCGGGAACGAATGGCGAACAGTGCGGCGGCATCGGCATCGGTAATTGGCCGAAGAAGGAGTCGGTCGCTCTGAATTGAGGGCCCTGGTGATGGGACGATCACGTAGGTGGGTTGTTCGGGTAGACTCATGTTGAAGGTATTTTATTTATTTCGGAGAATATTCTTGAAGATAAAGATCGTAAAGAATAAATTGGAACATTGGACGGCAGCAGTCTCGGACCTCGGGAGTCCGATTGACTCATGTCTTTGTATCGGCATGCCGAATACTGGGATGAGTCACTGTATAAATACCTATTCCTTTCCAATGTTTTAACTTTTATGATTTTCTACAAAGATTCCCAGCAATGACAGTTTGAAGCAAAGCAGGACCTTTTTTTATTTTGAGGTAGCCACGACAATATGTTTTCGATGCCCGAAACTGGGCCCCGCATCGCGCGTGGCCACTAAGCCCTAAGATCAGGCAGGGCTAGTGTCCGGTCTCAAGGCACTCTCGTTGACCGGCCCGGTTAGACATCAGGTTCACAGTGAAGGCAGAACATGTCACAGGGTTCAATTTGCCAACATAGTACAAGTCATGACCACAAAATATTGAGTTTCCTGAGCCCACGCTTTGGTTTGGGTTCCGGCTCGGGATTTTTGTGCCAGCTTTCGATGAAAGGCCGAATGGGAATTGCCGCCAGCGGGATGATCTTCGTCTTCGCCCAGAATTTGTGGGCGAAATACACGACAAGGATGAACGGCAGGTTGAAATATGTCGAAACAAAGGTTGCAGTACTCCAATGACCGCGCATAAATGTCGTAAAACCTCCGGTGAAGAAAAGAACAATGTAAATGACCAATGAGATCCAAGTTATGTATGGCTGAAAAGGTGCTGCCCATGGGAGCTCCTTGAAGCGATCAATTCCCTGCGTCTTGCATCCGTAGTAGAATCTGAGATAGACAATGCAGATGCAGATCAAGTTCACTAGAGTCGAAATGGAGACAAGATTTTGTAGCCATGTGAATACCGTGCTGGCTGAATCGGAAAGACTCATGTATCCAAGTGCCATGAAAACACCATAGAACGTGACGGCGACCCAAGGAATACCAAAGCGGTTGATACGTTTGAAGACAGCAGGGGCATGACCCTGGGTTGCCATGCCGTACAGGATTCTGGAACCACCCAAGATATTGCTGTTTCCGGACGACCATGCTGAGGTGAGAACAACTGCGTTGATGATTGAGGGAACCACTTTAATACCAGCATGGTGGGCTGCGATCACGAAAGGAGACTGCGAGGCTGTCCCCGACGAACCCAGAAGATTTGGATCGGCAGACGAAACGATCAGACCAACCATGAAGATTGTTATCACGTAGAACATCAAGATGCGGATGAAGATACGTCTGGCGGCCATGGGAATAGCGTGACGAGGATTTCGAGTCTCGGCTGCTGCGAGAGTAAAGTTTTCGATACCAGAGTAGGCGAAGAGAGCGTTGTCGAAAGTTTTCCAAAATCCTAAAAACCGGCCAAGGGACCCGCCCACTCCCAAGTACTGGACGAAGGGGCCATAGGGAGCTTTCCAGTAGGCAAATCCAATGGACTCGCCGTTCGGGGCTCCGCCGCAGGTAATCACCTATCAAAATGAATTAGCACGCAGGTAAACGGGTTCTGGGCCTAAAGGGGGCAATCACCAGGGCCATTATGTTTATACCGATAATGAGCATGATCTTGAGAATCGAAAAACCGAACTCAAGCTCTCCATATACGCGAACAAAGACAAACGCGGTAGAAAGCATGAGAAATCCAAGCACAGTGATCCATATTGCGTTGTTGACAGTGATCCAGAATTCAATGATAACAGCCGCAGCGACTATTTCCGAAGGGATCGATACAGAGTAGGAGTATACCTGGTTCCACCCGTTGGCGAACGCTAGAGCGGGGTCACAGAAGATTTCTCCGTATCGAATAACACCGCCATTTAGAGGTACCAGGGCCCCCATCTCACCAACAGCAAAGACGACACTCGAAACAGTAGCACCGATGATTGTATATGCCAAGAACGCACCCAATGGTCCAGCTTCCACAATGGCACGGCCCGAACTGAGGAAAATACCCGTCCCCACCGTACCGGCGAGAGCAATCATCTGGATGTGTCGCTGATGGAGACCCTGTCTGAACTCGCGAACCTCCTTGAGCTGGCCCGCAGCATTCTCTATGTCGCTACTTACTCTCATTTCGTCGTCTTCGTGGTGTGGAACTTTTGAGTTGGACGCAATTGGGGTATTAATGCCATTGACGTCCTTCAAAGGATGGGTCGTTATAACAGGTGACATTGAAAACCCCGTGGCGTGACACAAAATCTTTGAAAAAGAAAAGACCTGAGATATGTAATAACATTATTATTGCTCGTACTTTTGCACATAACTAATTCTTCTTTTCAACTGCACAAATCGTGGCCCCCGGGTATAACTAGTTGGACAATAACAGCTACTTATAAATGGTGAATTTGCAATCCACATTTTGCTGTTGGCTACTAAACCGGGTCCCTTATTAAACTGCGGCTTTCGCGTAAGATAAAAAAAAATGAAACAAAAAAGAAACTTTTCAGCGGGGTTTAAATAGGGCATCTATTTACTCCCGGGGTCCTCATCTGCTGCCCAGATGTGGAGCATCTCCCGCAAGAGTGGGCCACACTTTGTCAGATTTGGGTTCATCCGGGACTATCGCCAGATGGATACATGTGTCGCGTTTTAGAATCCTCTATTAGTGTGGTGTGTTTGGATGCTGAACCGCTTCAGCCGCGATGAGCATCTTATATTGTAATATAGTCCGCGAGGGGCGGTTTGATGAGAATATAAAATCAAAATAGAAACGAACTACGGTCTAGACTTTCGCATTCTCGAAGATGGAGGTTTTATCCAGCGTAGCAAGTTATTATTATCCCTCAGTACTAAATATTGCGGACAAGAAACATATCATTACACCCAACGTAGGAGCCAAAGGTTCTAAGATTGGCGTATCCATACATATGGCATTTTATCCTAGCATCTTCTTGATTCTATATGGCTAATTTGTTTTTATATTCCTTTGGTCTTATGAGGCTGCAAACAATGCATGCATATCAGACGCCAAGTCGGTCATTTCCGAGCCTTTGGTGTATCACTAGTATATATGAGCTCTTTCGCTTCAGTTCACCTTAATTCATTTTTATTTTTTCTCCGTGTTTAGTTTAATTCCTTTACTTTTAAAGACTTTGGTCAACCTGTATCTTACCTCTCCTTTTCTATATATTAGCTATTACACATCTAGTGAGATATAAATTTCTAGCTATACGTCCATATATATGTATCTTTTTTATATATGGTGATGAAAAGAGAATCAAATAGATTTATATTGAAAAGGCAGCCAGGCTCGAGATAGATCAAGAGTTGGGAATACATCAAGATTTAGTGGCAATCAGTGGCCCCGTTGGTTGTGCCCATACTGGGAAGGTCACCTTCTCACTTTCAGCCCTATATAAAGGTGTTCCTCGCCCAAACAAACTCTCCTTCTTACAACTCACCGCACCACAACGCTGCGACCTCAATTAACTCATACCTGCTGTATCCCACCATAGACGAATATAGAGAACCCCAATTTCTCCTCTGCCCCTACTCAACCCCGCTAACCCTTACGCGCCACAAGCTCATGTGCTCACATCCTAAAACCTTTGAGCCAACCACATCATCTCCCAAGTTATCCAGTCCAATCCCTGAATTACGCTCTCATCATATGATTACATTTTAACGCCTTGTTTCTGGGGTTAGAATAGTCGTTTCAATAAGCAGTTGAGAGTGGGAATGTGGAATTCGGTTCGAACACTTCCAGTGTCGTCCGGCGATAACTGATTAACCAGTTCTATACCTAGATACACATTTATTTGACATTAATGTAAGATTTCCGAGTCCACCCACCCGGTGAACCTTGGGTCTAATAGATAACCGAAATATGATCAAGTAGATCCTCCAGTCCAAGTCTCGTCTGACCCGGAGAGTGCACTTCACTTCAAACTTAGGGCATCAACACCATCATATGGAATTCCAAAGCTCTCGAGCAGGTTGATTGCAGCGGTTTCACCCGACTTGTAAGCACCATGCACGCAGCCATTACCAACAACAGTACAATGCTCACCGGCGAACTGCAAGCGGCTGGCTTTGTGGTTTTCCAACGCATCAACCAGAAGCTGCGGCTCATCTCCAACCTTGTCGGCGGAGTAACTCCCATACCCAGCCAGCGGGTCCTGGGTCCAATGTGTAGTTTCAACATTGATCAAACGGGGTAAAGCCTTGTAGGGTTCTGTACGGAATAATTTGAAAAGCGGTTCAAAAAATAGATATATCTCCTTCGGATCTTGCATGCTCTCGATGCGTTGCGTCAGAGGCTCGGCAATCTGTACGCACAACTCTTTGCTGCCCGTCATAATCCATAGGTTAATTGTCACGGTGGCGTAGTTGAGGATATTATCATTCTCCACAATGGATAATATGCTGGGGGTGGACTGCACGGATGACCCAGACGAAGCATCCGATTCATCTGGTGGAGATGGGTAGAAGACGAACTGGTCATTCTCCTTTGACCAGAAAACGTCGGCGAATTCAAAAAACACTTTGCCCAAGGCTCCATAGCTGAACTTGGACATGCCCTCTTGGATGTCACTCGGCAAGGGCGGGTTGAATGAGATGAGGTTGTGATGATAGACGCCCAGTGGGCTAGTCATGATAACTGCATCTCCCCCAATGAACCCGATTTCTCCAGCAGCATCCCTGAACCGGATTCGAGCTGGCGCGGTCCCGTCTTCGTTCCACTCCACGTCCTCGACATGGTGGTTGAGTCTGATGATGCTCGGATCGTTTCGGAGAGACTCCGCAGTCCAGTTCACGATCCGATCATAGCCGCCCTTCATATATAGATTGCGCTCGGTAATGAAGTAAGAGAGATGTTTGGACGATGCTTGATCCGTACTAGTACCTATCCACAATTCTACCTCGCGGATAGCCTGCGGAGCCCAATCACGCTCGTCTTCAGTGATGAGCTGGTGTTGGAGGACGAACTCTTTCGCGAATTCCTGGACAGGACGGTCCTCAGCCTCCGGGTTAGTTTCGTAAAACCACTCGCAGTAATCCGCGAACTCGTCTGCGACTTTCTTAGCTTTGAACTGGGATCCAGTCCGGCCTTCTCTGGTGAAGTACAGAGGAACACCATCGTCATAATAATATGGAATACATAGCTTGGGAATGAGTTTCACCAGGATGTTCTGGGAAGTTTCATGCATCCAAGCGGCGCCTGTTGAGCATCAGCACAATCTCGTTTTGCTCGCACCCGCCTATTCCGATCTCTGTTTCAGATTCGTATCGTTGTCTTACCAATATCTCGGACATGGTCACCCTTTCGGCTGGTCAGGATTCTTCCACCAATGCGATCGCGTGCTTCTAATACCACCACTTCACAACCATGGCGGTGCAGGACAGCCGCGGCATGCAGCCCGGAAACTCCAGCGCCCACCACAATCACCTTCTTGCGCTCCGACCTCGCTGCGTGTGTTACCTTGATCGACTCCTTTTGAGTCACATCGAACGCAACCAGGCCGGAGCAACAATTACTAGGTTTTATGGGATTAATGCCCGTGATAGGAGAAGAAAGGTGAAAAGATTGAGCCATTCTGAGTTGACAAGTTGACATTCGATGTTGAAGTTATTGAGCAAACAAGGATCAAAACAAGGATCACGTTGAACAGAAGTTGTGAGGGGTTTAGGCTGTGTTATCGCAGTGCGTAGTGACCATGGGAGGACTTTGGTCTTATTGGCTTTTATTGCCAGCAGAAAACCGGCTATCTACGTGGTTTTCTGGATTATTATGGGGTAATAGCCAATTGGATAAGCACTTCTAGTCACATGGATATGTAGATCCATATGAAATATGGAAAATGACTTTTTTATATAGGAAATATGGATTACTTGCACAAATTTCAGGAGGATATTGAGAAGACAACAAAATAGTGGTATCATAACATTAACCAAGTCCTATATGGTTAGATACAGAGGCCACATAAACGACCGACTATTTTGGTTATTACCCACTTTTCTCTATGAAAACTTGTCAGGTTGATACATACTAACTACATATATGTAACTATAACAATAATTAGTATAAAAATAACTTTGAAAAGGGCGGAGAACCAAGCGGTGAATTTTAAACCGCCAATAAAAGCAAAGTCCGCATTGCGATAGGCTGTAGGGGGAAACCTTGGACCGAATCTACAAATGTAGTATTCTAAGGGATTTTGTTGACATCGTCAGATTCTTTATGGAGTAAGAAACAATTTTATCGTCAGTCCCCTTACTGATTCATGTCTTCATGTCCCCCAATCTGATCAGACCCACATCCTGCCCGCATGTACCCGCATCGACTTGCAAGATCACAAGGCACACGAGTAAGATTTGGCGCACTTGGCCGGGATTACCCACGTGAGTCTTAAATAACGTCCAATCAGACCACGATGTAGATAACGTCCTAGGTCGTAGCCTTGAGTCCATCGATGGGTTTAACAACGACTTTCCAGAATATTGTTTAGTTCAAGTCGGTGAAATTCTCGGAAAGAAGAAAGACAAGAGGGAGAAAGGTAATGAGTAAAGAACCTTCCAAGGTTGGAATATTCCAGTACAGAGGGGGCGTGTGACTCGAGGCTATCCGCCTGGGCAGCTGCCTTCCCAATCGGTCACATACTCCAAGCACTTCTAAGGTCACTCCTTCCCCAATACATTCCAAGGTTGCCTTTGCGAACTGCCCATGTGATTTTATATGATGATGCAAGAGGTTGATACGTAAGACCTTTGAGAAGCACGTTTCTTGTACTTCTCGGCGACAAGGTACTACCTTGAAAATCCAAAGTGAGTCATCACGGTTCGATATTCCTGTCCCTTCGATCGAGTGGAAATGACACAGCTTTCCTCTTCTAAGCCTCCTTCCCAGGTGGACCTAGCTTGAGGAAGTAGAAAGATACGCGGTATGCTCTCTCGCCCAACTACCGCCACCTCTTGAACTTGTGAACAAAGGCGTCGATTCGACGACGTGGCGCATATTCGAGCTTCAACGGACGGAAGTGTTGTCATGTAGATGTTACATATGGGTCTCCTTGGTCGATCTTACTGTAAGGGTAAACCAAAATAAATCATATGGAAAAGTACCCACTCCATATAGCATAATGCCCCAAGAGGGATTCAAACTAAGGTCCACTATAAAATACTATCATAGTAAGCTGGAAGTGAAGGAGATGAAAGTTGTAGGAGGGGATATGAAGCCGTAATAAGTCCACTTAAGGTCCACGGCCGCTATCGGGAACAGCCCTAGAGGCGAATATATTTTTCTGGTATAATCTAAGCCATTCTGGTTTGATATATAAAGTGAAAGAAAGTATACAAATGTAATAAACAAAGGAAACATATTAAGTTGTGCTTGGAAATGCTTAGCCTGTTGTTCCAAGGCTTATCTCTTGCAGGACTGCCCCACAGGTCGAAAATTCTTATCCTCGCAATTTTCCTTCTTGTTTTCTTTTCTCCTCTCATAGAGACTCTCTTTTCTCAGTAAAATGTCTCCAGCATGACTGGCTTGCCAGGTCGGGTTTTAATCAGATTCCGATTTTGAATTCAGCAATGGAAGAGGACCTACTACTCAATGGCACCGAACGCATTTGCGTTGACGGGGAGGTCGCATTAATTCCCACACCCACAAATTCTCCAAATGATCCACTGAACTGGAGCACCTGGAGACGGCATTGGCATTCACTGTTGGTCCTTGTGTTTGTTGCCCTGACCGCGGCAACCGCCAATGATGCTAGCAGTGCTGGAAATGGCATGAACGCTGAATTGGGTATTACGTGGGACCAGATCAACATTGCCGCAGGCGTCTTGTTTGTCGCTATTGGATATACCACATTGCTACTCGGCCCGGCACCTTTCTTATACGGAAGACGTATCTCCTATCTGATTTGTCTGGTGTTTTCCGTCGTTGGCTCCATCGGGCTAGCCCGCACACAAAATGTCAGAGACAACATCTGGAGCCAATTTTTCGTGGGCGCCTCCGAATCCTGTGCCGAGGCGCTTGCCCAGCTGTCTCTTTCTGATCTGTTCTTTCAGCATCAAAGAGGTCTGGTCCTGGGATTATACGTTCTTGCCACTAGTATCGGTACATTCATGGGACCCATGGTGTCCAGCTTTATCGTCGACTCTCCCCTAGGATGGAGATGGGTGGGCTGGCTTGCTGTCATTATATCCGGAGGCTTGATCGTTATCTTTTATTTCACATTGGAGGAAACATCTTTCGATCGGAACAACCCTATTCACGGACATGATGCACCTCCTAGCAATTCTGAACGCACGTCGAATGATGTCGCGCTGAATAAAAAGGAGGCACCGATTGCGAGCGTGCAGCCGACACCCTCCGACTGTGAGCCTGACAAAGAATGCGGCCAGGAAAAAGGAAAGACGTATTTCCAGCGCATAGCGCTGATCACCCCATCGCCAACACTGGTCGGCACGGGCTTCAAGCAGTATGGCCGTCGCCTATTACACACCCTGCGCGTCTTCACCTTCCCGGCAGTCCTCTACTCGGGCCTTCAATGGGGTGCCCAAGACGCCTGGTTGACCTTCTACCTCACCGTTGAAACGGACAATTGGTACGAGGCGCCCTGGAACTACACCGACGCTGCAGTAGGAATCATGAACGTGCCGACCCTGATCGGGTCGGTTCTCGGCTGCATTTACGGTGGTTGGTTTTCTGACTTCTTTGTGATGTGGATGGCCAAGCGAAACAAGGGCATCTTCGAGGCTGAGCAGCGTCTCTGGCTCCTGTTGCCTGTTGCGTTCATCGGCCCTGCTGGTCTCATGCTCTTCGGGATCGGCTCGGACAAAGGCTGGGACTGGCATATGCCATACCTTGGACTGGGTTTCATTGGTTTCGGCTGGGGTTGTGCAGGCGATCTTAGCATGGCGTATCTCATGGATGCGTATCCGGATATGGTGCTGGAGGGCATGGTCGGTGTCTCTGTCATTAACAACACTATTGGTTGTCTTTTCACATTCACGGCTCAGAATTGGTTGGATGCGCAGAGTCTTGCGCAGGTTTTTATTGCGATTGGCGTTTTGAGCTTCTGCTTTATTATGACCACTATACCGATGATCTACTGGGGCAAGAAGTGTCGAAAGATGACTCGGAGGCAGTACGAAGCTTTCCTGCTGCTTCGTGATGGACCTTCTTAGTTGAGGGTTTGTCTGGCTCGCCATTTTCCTTATATATTTCTTTATTCATTTTGTCAACATAATTTGCAATATTCTGTGAATTTGGGGGCTCTGGTGGAATGAGAAGGCTCCGCCTGCTCTGACCTGAATATACCATTTCTTCTTAAACCCGCATTAGCTAACCGTTCTGCTTCACTCCTGCGTGTCGTCTGGCAGTGATTTGGCAGTAAGAGAGAGAGACAGAGAAAACACCTCGGGAATAACAGAGGAATATTGTCATTTAAGACATCGGTTCAATCGAGCATGAACCATTTTGGTGGCCAAATCTCCTTTGATAGGTCATTTCTGTGAATAATTTGGCGATGCAACTCAGACATGGCGTAATTATAACACTTCTTGTGCCCCACAGATAAAACATTATCACTTAGACTCTTCATAATTTATGTGAAAGATAGTACTCCTATTGTAGTACAGATCAACTTGTTGATATCTACAAGATACATGTGTAGATAAGAGCATGAAGGTGCACGATGTAGTATTGTAGTAATGAATTTGTAGTTGTACAGATATGGGAGGAGAGAAGCCAACTTTGACGCTCACTTCAAGGATACAGATAGAATCACCACTCTTGTATCTCCCAGACCCTAGTTCCCAGATCTACAAGGTCCTCCTTTTGTAATCGGATATCAGTCTCTTGAGGATTGGAAGGAGGTCGTCGGAAGAGCAGTGTGAATGGGATGGTAAGAGCGTGCTGCGAGACGGTGGTATTGTCGCCAGTCTTCTCTATCACACATGATTGTGTAACATAGGACCGTTGGGAATTTGAATCCCATTCCCACGTCTGGATTGTGACCATGGGCTTCCGGTGGTGGATTCTGATGGTGATGGCCATGTTTGCTTTCCCCTCGGTGGGATCCACCCACATTCTTGCGTCGTTGGGCAATTTTGTGTCGGGCTCTGAAAGGCCAACTTCCAGGACTACCGAGGGCCGGTTATGAACACCACGAGGACGCTGCCTGTGGCCCCAATCCCCATCCGGCTCTTTCGTGTTTCCGCTGCCGACATTGATGGTTACCCGTCCATATGTGAAGATTGCTTCATCGAGCCCCATAGGCCCCAAAGCTGCCACTACTCTATTGTGAAATGCCATGGCAATATCAGAATGCTCGAGCAAAGTCATTCTCAAAATCAATGTGTGAAGTGTCGGGTTATAGAATTGACGAACGCCAACGTCTAGCTTGAGGCCGAAGAAGTCCCTCCGGAACGATAGCGTGTCGATGATTATAACAAAGTATTCTGATATGTCAAGAGAGTTATCAAGCGGTTCAGACTGGAGATGGCGTAACGAGTGTTCTAGGCGCTCAAATTCAACTGTTGCGATTTCCTCAAATTGTTCTTTCCCTTCGTAGGTATATATGTTTGTGGAAGGAGGCAGGTCGTCTAGGTAGCTTTCCACGTCCCTTCCATATCTGGCGCGTGTGGACCCAGCCATTGTTTCGAAGTATCCTTGCTTTCCTACTATGAGTAGAGTATACAGTATCCAGGAAGGAGCAGATGACTTGAGATGTGAAAAAGACCCTGGAGGTCTATATACATATGTAGGTAGGAGTGGTGTGGTTGGGTTACCTCATAATTTGCACATGATGTACATGATGTATCGATCGTACCGGACTTTCCCACTTTCCTATTTGGGCTGTCGCTTTGCAATTGACACCTTTGTGGTTACCGATCCGATGAATCCTTTATCATCAATCTGATCTTTAATCTGATCCTCGGCCTGGATAGCATCATCTGCCGCAATGGCCATGCCACCAAAGCCGTAGCTACACTTAGCAGCTGGTTCTGTTGCTGTCGCTAACGAAGCAATTGCATCAAATTTGGCTTGCCGAGTCTTCTCTATCGGCTTGCCAGAGAACTACTGACCTTTATTCTCATTAAATTCAGTGTAAACCTTCTAGTACCAAACACCTAGCTTCGGCTTCTAACCAGCCGGTCGGTTCTCTTGTACTAGGTGATAGCAATCATTGGCATCATGTCCCTATGCGCCGTAGAAAGAACAACATCTATTGGCTATTCGCTACCTTTTATGGTTCTTCCACTCTTCAACTGCTTCTTAGCAGTTTTGCCTCGGGGAGGGGCATTTATAAACTTCTTCTTCTTTAAATTCAAAGGTATTGAAGAATCCGGAATAGTTAATATCCCCTTCAGCACGCAAGCAGGTATCGCATGACTGAACCATCTACACCTCGCAAGCTATGCTTCCAAAGGAGGGGCCGCTGCGGCTCTCTAGTTTCAGTGAAGCTAGGATAGGGCTTGGACCGTATGATTTTCTAGCCATGTCTATGTCATATTGCGCGCCTGAGATAACGCTCATCGACCGTTTTCCGTTCAACCTATATACACCAAAAAAAAAGCCTAGAAAATTCTCGACCCTACAAATGACTTAAAAAGTCAAAAAGAAATTGTTGTGCATCATCCGTGAATCGAACACGGGCCTCGTCGATGGCAACGACGAATTCTACCACTAGACCAATGATGCTAGTTGATGTGTGGAGACTTCGGTGTTGGCAATATGAGCGGATCGCACAAGTCTCGCTTCCGTAAGATTGGGCTCCACTGCATCTATATTCTCCATGTCGTGTAGGTCTTTAGTATTTATCAATTGAGGCTAATATCATGGTGAGATACTTAAGTATCAAATTAAATACTAGAAAACTTTTATCCTTCATCGAATACGTTACTGCTGAAATATATTTTCACTACTATACTCAGATATACATATCGGAGATTGGTATTCATTTCTTCTCACAAATCAATCTGACGATATTAACATATACAAGATAACAAACAGACGCACTGAAGTAACGCTGATGAGATAAAAATGTAGTTAGTCATTAAGACATAAGTAACTAAACGAACAGATACTTCAAATGCAAAAGTAGGCAGCCCCAGTGAAGAGAGAAAGCATATGCAACAGAATGCAACAGAAATGGCATATATGGGGAAATCATTGTTCATCAGTGTTCAGTGGAGGATTTACGATATTCGGTATCGCCGGAGAGAAAGGGTATTGATCGTCAAACTGGTCCAGCTCACTTCCATCGCCACCGTACCCAATGCTATCGCGATTGTCATCAATGATGCGTCCGTACTCAAGGAGAAGAAGATAGAGATAGATAGTAAGGTCTTCGTTGCGCAGCGCATGCTGCGCCCATTCCCGACTTTGAGACGCCATAACCTCAGCCTCAAAGTCATGCTTTTGGATGTATGGCTCGCTAATTGAGAAGTCATCCACGGGGGATGCTTGTGGTTCCAGACCGAGGAAGTAGGTCATTAATGCGTACAGGTCATCGTAGCGGTTGTCCATAGGGACGAAGTGACGCCAGGGGAAGAGCCTAGAGTCATGCCATTCGCGAAAAATGGTGGCCTTGATCCCTAGGGATTTGCTAAGCTGGAAGGCGCGCCACCGCCCGGAGAAGCTGTGACCATCAATATCGACGAGGTATTTCGCCTTGAACTGCTCGCTGAAATCCTTGGGCTTTTTGTACGTCCAAATATCGTTGTAGAAGGAGCAATTCGGGATACAGCCCCAAGCCTCAGTGAAGCCAACATCGAAATGGTCCAATGAAAATTTGCTTGGGTAGAAGTCGGGATAGGTATGATACTGCCCCGGGCTAGTTTCGGAGAGAATGGAGACCGTCTCTGATCTCATGTCAGTATTGTTGGTAATTTGCACAAAGCGTTGGCGGTGCATATGCTGCCAATTATCTGCAAGCTGAACGCCCCCAGATGTGACGCCACGCCAGAGGAGAGTCTCCGCTTTGTCCTTCCACTCATAGTCGTGTCGCGAATTGTATACATAGCGCTTGTCATTCATGAAATACATATTTGCAGGGAAAAGAATATCGTTGTTCACGCTAACCTTGCATTCGCTGAAGACTGGGACCAGTTTCCTTGTGATGAGGTTGCTGGATGCCGAGAACAAAAACCCGTGGTTTTCTCCGAGAACGGGACCGACGGTGCATAAATCAGAGGAAGCAGTAAAGTTGGTGACAAACCCACCCGAGGGGGATTTGTAGAGCTTGTCGGCATCTCCCACAGTGAGATTGTCATTCCGAGCGGGAGAGTGGGGGTCACAGGAATCTTTGGCGAAGTCCATGTATAGCTTTCCAGCGATGGAGAACCAAGATGGGTCAACACGATCCTCGACATTGGAACCTTCCTCTAACAAATATTTCATGTTTGGGGTGAATCGATCCTGCGCATCGCTGGGTAAGCTTCTGGTGAGGGCTTCGGTGTGGAGGTATTCCTGTATATCCTCAAATGAAACCATGACTCGCGGCTGATCCATAATATTAAGCGCAATATCCATGTCTGGAAGATACCGAGCAATTTTTTTAATCGACTTCCGCAGTGTTTCAACCCTCCATCCTTCAACAGAGGAGTAAACAACCTTCTTATTTCGGATTTGCACACCTGCAATGCCCTCGCTAGATTGTAACTTGGCTGCCCTCTGTCGAATTTCCGCCGGAGGAACCGCCCAAAAAGGCCGCAGATCGCCCGTAATCTGTTGGAAATCGTCCACATTATGCGCCTTCCTTTTGCGTGCGAACATGTACCATTCCTTGAAACCGGGAGGTGGGTGTCGTCCATATGTTTCACGGTATTTGGCGACTGTTTGGCGGAAGCTTGTCGTGCGGCTATTGTCATATTCTTGCCATTTTCGGTTCGCGTCCCTCATTAAGTCGGCGATAGGGTGTTCATCGTGCGCATACTCCCCGAACACGGGACTTGTTTTTGCGGCGAAGAGACCCAGATTAGGAAGACGGATTATAGAGTTGTCGACAGCATGGGTGAGGATTAGGAGGTTGATGAGGCATGTGGTGGTTATTGCGCAGGCCAATAGCAGGTAGAATAGCCTGCGACTCCGAGGGAATGAGCCGAGCATTGAGAATGGTTCCCGAAAAATCGGGAGCTAGGTTTTCAGCTGGACACTAAATTTCGACGACCTTGCAGGGATTATTGACAAGGACAAGCACGAAGGCTATGAAAAGGAGGTGGAAAAGGACATAATTGTAATAGAAACTTAGAAGTTTGAGAGGGAAGAAAAGAAGAAGAGAAGTCGACATAACGCCCCTAAAGCCTGCAAAGTCTCCAAAGGCCCCCAAAACGCCAAGGGTTGACAAACATCATAACTTGGAATAGAGTTCTTGGCTGGTGTTTCTTTAAATTACCTGGGTACATGTAAAATATTTTATTTAAGACAACTATATATATTGTAGTTTAAATGGTTAGTTAATGGAATATATACAGTACCTATGATGAACATTATATGTAGAATATGTACTCCGTAGAATATGTAGATCTTCCTAACAAGGGGGTTGATCAAAGATCCAAAGATTAAAGGAACGTGGCAACCCGCCCCCAATCAGGGCCAAGTCTAATTTCGGAGACTGGCGGCTCTTTGTGTATCTGCCAAGAATTACAAGATATTTATTCCATACTCTGTCGATACCTACCTATGTTATATACTATTGAAACAATGATTTATTTATTTATTTATTTTATTTAGTTCTTTTACTAAAGAGAATAGATCAAGCATTTCAGGATTGATCGGCATTAGACTAAACATTAGGGTTATTGTTCCAAGATTCTTCACGGGCTGGCCCCCGGGTGAGACATTCCTGACTCAGCTCTTATATAAGCCAAAGCCTCGGGCTGTGGCCTTAGGCATAAACCCGCAGCTAAGAGCTGTCAATGCGACTCTCACACACCTTCATTTATAACTTTTTTCAACACACACAACCTCCCCCATGCAGATGACGTGATCAGCAACTCCTCAATGGGTGACTGTCCCATTCGCAAAATATGGCCCTAAAACGTACTCGCGCCGCGCTCGAAGCCGACCTTCAAGCAGAGCAATCCCCATACGCCTTCTATGGAACCCCGTTACCACCACTCGACGAGAGTGTTCGCGACGATGGCTCCTTTGTACCAATATGGAAACAGGAACTGAGGGACGAACATGGGAACAAACGTCTTCATGGCGCTTTCACCGGTGGATTCAGCGCGGGGTGGGTAGCTCTTTAACCCAATAACCTTCGGAAGGACAACCACTAACGTCTGCTAGATACTTCAATTCCGTCGGCTCGAAAGAAGGGTGGACCCCTGCAACCTTTGTCTCCTCGCGTCAGAACCGTGCCCGGAAGGCCGAACAGAAACGACCCGAGGATTTTATGGATGCGGATGACCTACGAGAACAGGAAGAAGCCAGACAACTACAGACCGCCGATGAATTCGCCGGTTTCGGCCCGACCGAGCTAGATGCTACACGCAGAGCAGGACTCATGGATATATTGAAAACAGGCGGAGAAACCATGGGAGTGAAGCTCTTGAAAAGATGGGCTGGCGCGAAGGTCAAGGAATCGGGCCTAAGGTGCGACGCAAAGCCAATCTGGATGAAATTTCTGCTCCGGGTGGCGATGCGGGAGAAACATACCTTTTTGCTCCTGAAAACCCACCCATGGTTGCTTTCATTCGCAAGACCGACCGCAAAGGTCTTGGGTTTGAGGGTGAGTCGCGCCTAGAGTCTCACAATGCTCTGCAGCCCATCCAAGGTTCTGAGGAATCAGATTCATTCTTTGGGGGCCGGTTAGCTATCCAAGGGAAAGGTCAGCCCCCGAAGCCGAAGGAATCTCGGCGGGGAGGACTCGGGGTTGGCCCTCTGAATGACACTGGGTCGGACGACGAGGATCCTTATTCTCTAGGTCCACAAATATCATACAACAAGACCATTGGAGGGGATAAAAAGAAGAAGAAAAAGGTCAAACCAGAACCAACAATCGCGTCATCCAACCCACTCTTGAATTCAAAGCCCGTGTTCATATCGAAGAAGATGGCCGCATCACGCGGGATTGGAGGTTTCCGAAAGTGCCGCGACGGGCGCCTACCGCTAGATGGATTCATCCTTGCCGATGCGATCACGGGCCTGTCGATCTCAGAGAAGAAATACGATCCTCCTGCGATACCCGAGGACTGGAAACCAGCGAAGGAAATCTCGTCAGAAAAACGGGATCGATCGAATTATGTCTCTACCGCTGACGCCGCAAAAGCCTCCTCGCTTAATCCCACGTCTAGAGCAGCGCTTCTAGGCGAGGCCCAGCTGCCTGGAAAGTCTATCTTTGATTATATGACCCCCGAGGCACGAGATAAGATTGCCAAACTTACCGGCAACGCCAATTTACCTCCGGCTTTAGGAGAAAAGGCACCCGAAGGATACCAACTCCCCGAATCACAAAGGCGGAAGGATCTTTGGGACCTCGTGCCAAAACTCGACAAACAGATTGCCGCCCAAGCCCTAGCTCGGGCCGTTAGTGGGTGGATGCCTTACCAAGAGGATGAGAAAAAGCGTGAACGCTACCAAATATTCCTCGAAGTTAGTGCCGGGACTCGCTCTACCCTCCCAGAACGAGTGGAAGGTTCCAGCACCGATGAATGGGTTATAGAGATGCAAGAATTTGGCCGAGCTGCCGAGGTCTTCAAACCCATGTCCGGAGTTATGGCGTCCCGATTTACCTCCTCTTCCACCGCGCCCAAGATTGTCTCGGATGCCCCTGACTCTGCAGAATCTGGGCTCAGCAGGCCCGCTGAAAAGCCAGACGACCCTGCAGTAGCGGCTGCCAAAATTGGCATGTTCGGCCCAATGACCCGAAGCACAATCCCCTTCTACCCAACTCGTCTTCTATGCAAGCGATTCAACATCAAACCACCAGAGAATGTGCAACTTGACTCCGACGAACGGCCTGGGGCCTCCAGTTCCGGACCTGGCACCCGATTCCAATCCGCTGGATACCAAGCTGACACTGGGCCCAAACCATTGGTGTCGCAGGACATCATGAACCAACTTCTCATAGACTCGTTAGGTTATCTCCCTACAGCAGATGGCCTTGATCCATCTGTAGGTGGTCAGCCTGCTATCGCGGTGCCACCCCCGGTAGTTGTTGAAGCTGAGCGCAATGATGCCCTGGAGGCAGAGCGGCCTGGCGATGCAGTTTTCAAAGCTATCTTTGGGAGTGACGACGAAGACGACTAAATTTAGGCTTATTCGTATAATCTAATGAGAATTCATGTGATTTTTCAGTTATACCCCTGTACTCTGTACTCTGTACTCTGTACGAATTAAGCAATTGTGCTCTGTAGATCATTGTGTGACTGTTGGAGCCGTCCTGGTGGCATGAGATGGGCAAATAGGACAAATTGTGGAATGTACTCTTGTTTCTTCTTTTGTTTCCGCTTGTGTTTCATTTTCATTTTCATTTTCATTTTCTATTCCTTTTCGTTTGACAGCTGCCTCTTTTTGCTTCGTCTCCAACCCAGTAGGTCTGTGCTCAACCTTGAGGATCTAGTTCGCTTTAGAGCGTTGACCACTACTCCACGCAAGCCCCTCTCAAAAGTACTTCCCCTCCTCATATGGAGCTCGTTGATCGCAAACAAGATGGTAAGAAGCTGACCCCGACCCCCATAACCCCAAGAACCTATACATATATCATCACCATTAAGACTGGTCACGTTGCTTGGCATCAAATGTCACACGACTTTAAAGCCCCGGCTCTCATCTCCATAATGTCCAAACCCGCAAATGGCGCCCTAATCATAACTAACAATCCCGCCTTCCACACAGGGATGTTGCGCGTCAGTGTTGTCGCATAACGTCGACGACCAACCCCACAACCAAGAACGCATCCCACATCTAACAGTTACGAGGGATACCAGCGACCGCTCTGCGCAGTCCAGGCAACGAACTCGGCGCCCCAACCTCCCTCTAAACGAGCACTACAACGAACCAGTGCGCAACCATGTGTGGCGCAGCAGGCGACGGACCTGGACGCGCGCACAGCTGGACCGTGAGCGCGCAGAGTTCTTCGAGACGCGCGTTACCGGCAGGCCGGAGATATGGGCCGCTGTTTCGACGGTGGCTTCGCTGATTCGTAGCGGTGACTTGGTCACTGCGCAGGGCATTATCGATGCTGCGGGGATTACTGTTCCCACTGGGGATCTTTGTGAGGGGTGCTATGATGAGCAGGGCGTACTTTACAAGGTTCCGCAGTGTGTTGTTAGTGATCCGGAGAATATGGTTCCTTCGTCTTCGCGGATAGGTAGTGAAGATGGTGGTCCTGTTGGATATGAGGAAGAGGAGCACGATTCTGGAGCACTCTCGGATGGTAAGCTCGCTACGGATGATGCTTCCGGGGACGAGTTGATTTCCCAGGATGTTGAACGTCGCCGTGAGGAGAAGGGGAAGACGAGTGAGCGGGATTTGATCCGTGTGCGTGCGCGCTTGAGTGATCGTGGAGGTCCGGATATCCTGATTTCTATTGGTAAGGGTCAGACTGTGGGATTTCTGGCCAGAAAGGTGCACCACGAAGCCAAGGTTGGTGTTTGCTATTCATTTATTTGCTTCGTTTTCTGGATTATTGCTAATTTTCTGTTTAGCTCAAGAATGATAGTCGCGTTCGAATCGCTTACCTAGGTCACTTGCTAAATGAACGTGAACCCCTCGTTGATCAAGGGTGGAAGACTGGCCATGTTGTCAATGCTTTGGTCGTTTCCCTTGTTCATGATCTAGACCTTAAACGCTGATCCTGAGAGGGTTTACCACGGAACTACTTTATGAGGCATCGCCAATGGTCCACGACCAACATCACCCTTTTTCTCTCCCTTTATTTTGGATCTCCAGCGTTCTGGCGTTTCTTTCATTTGATCTCTTGCATAATACCCCGAGTCTTTTATCTTTTTTTTCGCTCCAATTATGAACTGGCAGATACTCTTCTTGTACCCATCTTCTCTTTAATTTGGCGTGATCTCTCACATGGGGATATTCATACTCCAGTGAAACTGGCTCTCAACATGTATCATCGCCCATGCATGTTGGATTTTGTGCATCTAATTACTTGATCTACTTATGAGTGTGCAATGTCTTCATTCCTCCTCGTGTCATCTTCTTATGTAAATCCGGGTTGGTTCCAAGGTTACTTACCCAGGTACATAGAGGTTATACACATGAATAATGAGCAATCCAAGCAATCTATGCCACGTTTACCCTTCACCTCAAGTTCTCGAATATGTCTTAGCGAGCTCTATACCTTGGAATGACTCGACAATGTATGGCGTCACGTGCCATGACGTACGTGGTGTGGTGTACAGGTCTATCATAACCCCAAAGTTGGCATTCTCATCCCCGCATGTTAATATCCATTCTCTTGTGGGTTTGAGGTTATGGACAATCCATATAGCCAAAGTATGAGCTACGAGGCAGATCGTCAGAAACGCGAGGTATATCGATATTTCCAACCAGAAAATCCGGCGGCACTTAATGCATCACTTCTACAAGTTGATGAGCATGTGGCCATAATAGGAGATTTTTCAAGAGTATCAACACCCTTTATACCTGATCCCTGTGATTCAGAGACAAATTTTGTCGACAGTTCTCCGTCAAGTCCAAATACAACTTTGACTTCTTTTGCACAACTGGCCGCTCTACAACTGAACGCGCAGCGTGCTTTAATTACGTACATTATTCTCCTGCCCTAGCATTTACCCCGATCTGACATTTTCTAAAGTGTGTTGAACACCGACTCTCAGTTTATATTGGCTGAAGCCACAAGGAACACCAACCTTAAGAGCTCAAAGTCATCCCTCGGAGAAGGAGATAGGCTTTTCGCTGGAACGTCGACATTGTCAGATGCTTGGAATATATGTCAGGTAGGCTGATATTCGTAATTTTGTAAATATTTCACACATTGACGCCTATTCCTTCGAATAGGAAACGGTTGCCCTTGGCTCAGACAACGAAGATGGATTGTATTCATTTTTGGTTGTCGACGATCTTCGACAAGAAGAACGATTCAAAGAATTGCCTTTTGTGACACAAGAGCCACATTCTCGCTTTTATGCGGGAACGCCCCTAACTAGTGACAGCGGTATCAATTTGGGGTGTCTGTTTGTGTTGGATTCTGAACCCCGTCAAGGGCTATCTGATATCGAGAAGGATACATTAGCAAAAGTGGCAGAGTTAACAATGGACTATTTATTGGTTAGCCGTCAAGCCGCAGAAGGACGACGGGCCTCACGGCTATCGCGTGGTCTCCATCTTTTTGTCGATGGCAACTCCAGTTTTGCTAGCAACGCTCACATGTCGTCTCGTTCGAGCAGCTCGGCACAGAGTTCGTCCCCGCGGGGATCGCCCAACCTCAGAGCCAGTCGATCGACAAGCTCCCAAAACGATGAACTGGGATTTCACTCAGCACGCTCTGGGTCAGGAAAAGCCTCCCAAAGCGGCGATACACAACCTTTGAGCCCAGCTTCTGATCAAAATGATACATGTGTTCCCTCTAGTCCAGCGGTATCGTACATCTCGCAAGAGGACGGCGGTAGCTCGGGGGACTCCTCGAGCAGCAACCACTGGCTTTTCCAACGCGCTGCAAACCTCTTGCGACAAAGCCTAGATTTGGATAGTGCTGGCGGTGTCATGTTCTTGGAGACCAGTGACAACTCCTCCGAATATTTCGCAGCCGGTCATTGTGACTCTGCTGAATCTACAAATTCTGCTCCTATTCTTGCACTTTCCACCAAAGACGATCCATTTTCATACCAGGCAAGCTCTACGCTGTCAAATCCAGCTGCCAATCTTGACAATATCTTCCTGAAACAGTTGACGCATCGCTATCCCAAAGGAAAACTCTGGTCATTCCACCACGATGGGACATTTTCAACTTCGGAAAATCAGTTAAGCGACGAGTCTCAGAAACAGAGGAAGAAGTCCAAGACTTCGGAGACCAGTAAATTGAACAAGTTCTTTCCTGATGCATCTCAAGTCATATTTGTCCCACTGTGGAATGCCACAGATACCCAGTGGTTTGCTGGGTGTTTTTGTTGGACTTCCCAGCCAACGCGAGTTTTCAGTCCTGCTGTTGATCTGAGCTCAGTATACGCCTTCGGATCCTCTATCATGACCGAATACAGCCGCGTTGAATCAGTTATCGCAGACCGTCAAAAGGGGAATTTTATAAGCAGCATCTCTCATGAACTACGCAGCCCGTTGCATGGTGTCTTAGCTGCGGCCGAGTTTTTTGGAAGTACTACCTTGAACCAGTTCCAGGAGACCCTCCTCGATACTATAAATACATGTGGTCGAACTCTCCTGGATACGATGAATCAAGTTTTAGACTTCAGCAAAATAATGTCATTGGAGAGACACAAGAAAACCTTCAAGCGTGGAAAAGACCCATGGAAGCCAAAACCCTCCGAGGAAACTGTGGCACACCTTGATACATTGGTTTTGACAGATGTGGCCCTCTTGACAGAGGATGTCATAGACAGTGTGTGCTTGGGTCATTCCCATATACAGAGGTCAGCCACGTCTACCAATCACCCCACAGATATATTGACGACACTTCCCTCCAAGTCAGTGAAAGATGGTACCCAAGTTGGTCACGTTTCAGGAGTGGACGTCATTGTTGACATTCCTGACAATGACTGGATGTACAAAGTCCAGCCGGGGTCCCTGAGACGCATAATAATGAATATTCTTGGCAATGCACTGAAGTATACCGAAAAGGGTCGAGTTTCTGTCTGCATTGAGGCCAGTGAGCGCTCAAAAGCTCGCTCTCGACGCCAGGGTCTCGAAGCTATGGTGACATTGACCATCTCAGACACGGGCAAGGGCATCTCAAAGGAATATCTTCGGAAGCACCTATTCATCCCGTTCTCACAAGAAGATCCCCTATCAGTAGGCACTGGTCTGGGTCTATCAATTGTTCGCGGCATTGTGAAAACCCTCAACGGAAAAATTAATATTCGAAGTCGACAGGGCGAAGGCACTATCGTCAAGGTGTCACTCCCCCTCGAACGTCCAGTGGGCGATGAAAATCCACGATCACCGTCTCACAAGAAAAATTCAGACCAAAATATACCTACGGCATCTTCTCAACTCCGGCGTGTCGACTACAGTGGGAAGCGTGTTGCTATTTGGGGAATCGATCCGTCTCGTCTTGATAAGCATCAGTTCTGGGCCTCCATAGCTCGATATATCACGGATTGGTATGGTCTGCAGCTTGTTCCTCTGCCCGCCAATGAGCCTATTGATATTCTGCTTGCGGATGAAATAAGTTTATCCGAAAAAGAATTACGCGATTTCCCAACTGAATTGCCAAGTCTGCTCGTCTTTTGCAGCGAGATAGGTGACTATGATGATTCTAAGTCACAATGGTCGCATCTTGCGAGCTCTCTGGCAATTCTACATCGGCCCTGTGGTCCACGAAAACTTTCTCGCGGTATTTTGGACTGTCTTAATGCAAAGCCGACAAACCCTATGTTGAATGTGCAGAATCCTGGGCGAGGCTTAGTACTTCCACATCGACCCGCTTTTACGGCTTTATCAATTGAAGAGTCCAACCCTTCATTATCAGGAAATCCACGATTACCAGATGCCGAGCCATCAATCCCCATGCCGGAGTCCAGCGATTGCACAATTGATCCCACAGAGCGTAGCGCTTTCGTGTCGACATCGTGTACTGCTGGCTGCATAATATCTGGGAGTACTGATTCCGCCAATCCCGGGTCTTCTTCATCTACCCAAGCTTCATCTGGCGGCTCAGATCATGTTAGCACCTTATCGGAGAGCCAAAACAGACCTCGGGTCTTGGTGGTAGATGACAACAGCATCAACCTCCACCTCATGGTGACTTTCATGAACAAACGGAAAGTGGTGGTCCTAGATAAAGCTGAGAATGGCAGAGCAGCCGTCGATGCAGTTGAAAGAATGTTGCAGGGATATGACCTTATTTTCATGGACATGTCTATGCCGGTTATGGATGGATTTGAGGCGACACGTGCCATTCGTGCAATCGAGAAAGAACGGGATAACTGTATTCCGGCGACAATCATCGCTTTGACAGGACTCAGTAGTTCACGCGATGAGTTCAGGGCCTTGGACTCTGGAGTGGACCTTTTCCTTATGAAGCCAGTTTCTTTTAGAGAAACATCACGGCTTATTGATGAATGGGAGGCCAAACGGCCGAAATAAATATGGCGATCACTATCTTATATGATGCAGGCTTGCCACCCAGACGTGGAAGACCACGTTCATGATCATGGTTTTCTTACATTGGCGTTTACGGCTTCTGATTCCATGTCCCTGCTGTTACTTGGCTCACGTATGGGGGATGATGAATGATGAATGGTGGATTGTGGATGATGGCGAGATTCGATTCATTATCTAAAGTTTTTCTATTGCGCCCCTACGGCTTCAAGGGCGATTATATCTACACACAACGCTCAATGACGGTAAATTGGATGCCAACATTGGCTACTATTCATGCCTTTTCAGCATCCTTTTTACTAGAACAGTTGATCGTCAAGATCCTGTTGTTCTGACTAACTTTTACCAGGCGTTCAGTGGACGATTGGCATTGATCGACAGTTCTGGAGAGACTATACGCATAACTCTCCTATCCTGGTGGGTAGTCACCCATATATCCCAGTATCGGAAGTATGAAGGGCCACATAAAGCAGATGTATAGACAACTGACCCCTAATCGGCGACTTGAATATTCTCAAGCCTCTCTAGAGAATCTCCTGAG